ACTCGCATTCCAAGGGTCCAGCTCAGGAGTGGCACCTCTGCCAAGTATATCAACCCCAAGGCTGTACTGAATGCAACGCAGCAATAACCAGCCATCTCTGCTGTCCTCATACATACTGTTGCCTCCCTGCTTTCAGTAGACCGATCACACTTGTCAGGGCGTCCGCTTCACTGGGACACTCTTCCAAGTCACCCACCATTAAAATTGTCGGCATCTGGGCCAGCGTCTTGAGCTAGGCGCTATCCTCAGCCCACATACCACTTGGGATGGGATCCCCCTCTCCAACCAGGTTGTGAGCAATCTAGCTCCTACACCTAATTCTCAGGTCCTCTGCAAAGCAGAAGCAAAGACAAACGTGCAAGAGATGTATTGGGCATCACACCTGTGAAAAATAAAATGGGGAGGGGACAGGAAGGGAGAAGAGCCTTCAGACGGTGATGCGTGTCTGGCTCCTTGGACGGAGAGAGAAAGAGGGACCCAGGAGGGGAAGCCCAAGTGGGCTATGCAGCCCTGAGCACAGCTCGGCTGGGCCATTGGGCCATGGGGAGTGCTGATGCAGAGGTCATCCTTAGAGGAGTCCCACACAGGCTGGAAAGGGTGAGCCTCGTACTCCCGATGTTGCCCATCATTGGCCTCTGCTTGCAGCTGGGCAGAGCTGACCTCGACTGGGGGAGTTTCTGGAGGGAGATCAGAGGGCCCCCCCCCCCATGGCTGTCGAGTCCCTCTCTGAATGTTCTTTTCTTCTGCATTTTTTTGTGTGTGAGTACTCTGCTTTGCTCTTGTCTTTCAGGCTGCCAGCTCGCCTTCCATGTCTGACGGTTCCCGGCTGTGTGTTCACTGAGGGGCGCAGGGCCGTGACGCTGCCTGGGGCACGGGCTGGCTGCTGGTGGGCCTCTCACTGGGTGATGCCGGGGCCAACGATAACTCGGGACCTCAGGAACAGGGTCCAGGGGAGGGGGCAGTAAAAGTCAGACTGCTAGGTCTTGGCCCTGGGATACCTAGCAGAGGCCATGCCAACGTGAATCCTCCCAGAATAACTTAAATTCCTGAGTGCAGAATCCTTGGTCAGTCGGTAGGGGGTGGGTCAGGTGGTTGAGTCTGTCGGGTAGATGGAGGGGTCCAGGAGAGGAGCAATGCTTAAATGGCAGATACTCTGGGGAAGAGGGGGTCAGGTGGTATATCTCCACTTAGCCCCCTGTTTCAGGTCTGCAGCCTCCCCACAGGCGGCACCCTGAGTCCTGGGCGCCTCCAGGCTCCGCGGGGCTAGCACGCCCTGCCCGGTGCCGCCCCTCTGCAAGTATCCCCGTGAGGACCCTCCACCACCTCTCCAAAGGTGTTGAAATCTCACATCCTGGGAAGGATCCCCTCCCATTCTCTTTCCTTCTATGAGTTTATAAGACCATCTCAAATCCTGTTTTGGAAGAAAGCTATAAAATTTGTATTGCTCAAACTGCAATGGTGAAGCTTACAGATCTTTCTCTCTGGCTGTTTCCCCCCACCGCCCCGACCCTGCTCTTGGCTTCACCCTGAGCACTGCCCCACAGCTGGTCATCTTCCTTCTGATCGGATATGAGATGGGAGCCTCGTGCACCCTGTTCCACACGCAGTCCTATCCAAAGACATGCTCCACCTGCCAAGACGTTAGCAGAAGCAGCAGAGATGTGCACTGCTGTGTGTCTCAGGATTGCTCGGGAGAGAGCAGTCACAACTCCCGAAGATACCCCTAAAGCAGTCTTCAGCCTGGCTCCTTCTGCAGGTCCATGCTAGGGGGCTCCTGTCCCCCATCCTCTCCATGCAACCCTTCCTCTGCCCAGTCCCCCAGCTTGGGGCTTGCCTCCGCCCGGCCACCACACCCCACGGCTCCCCAGATTATTCACTAACAAAGTGTAGACTAAAGCAGCGTTGTCCCACTTGTCCCAGAGATGCTGCTTGGCCAGGGTGCCTTGGGGATGCTGGACCTGGCACCACCTGATCCCTGCAGGTCTCCAGCCAGAGACAGCCAGTGAGGCCAAAAATGACCAGTGCCCCGAAGGGAGGGCTGTCCCAGCAGAAGAGGGGGACAGTGTCCAGTGAAGGTCTCAATATCCACCCAGAGTCGGGACCTGGGAGAACAGACCAAAGGGCTGAGGACACTTGCTGCCGTCTCCGTCCCACACATCCCTCCCACCACGGGCCCCATGGTCCCGGCAGAGATAAGAGTCACACATATAAAGTTAAATGCATTCTCCTTCTGACCCTCCTCCCTCTCGTGCTCTCTGTCTCTCATTCTCTCTCGCAAATAAATAAATAAAATCTAAAAAAAATAATAATAATAAAGTTAAATGCATTAGACGAGCAGTGGAAGAGTCTGCATCCTGATACTCGTCTAAATCTCTAGATTTGCATGTAATTACATGCACAATTATACAGCATACGATTCTTTCCATCACACGAAACGTGGCTTCAGTGAACATGTGAACGGCACCATCCGTTCCATAATGAACACACTCAAGATGAAGGTGATTCACAGAACCCTTCTGGCTTGTGTCGGGACCAGCAGTTTCTGGAGCCCCAGTGAGGCGAGGATTTCTCAGCCCCAGGAGACCCAGACCCCTACACGGGGCAGCCCGGCGCCCCCTGGGATGATGTGCCTCTATAGAGGGGCCTCGGGGAGGGGCGTCAGTAACATGAACACCCACAGCTTGACCCACAGGCACTCAGCAGAAAGGAGAGCTGGGGGTGCCCCGTCAGGGGGCCTCTCCCAGGACCTGCCAGCACTGGAGAGATCTAATGAACAGCAGAAGGGCATATGAGGGCCCCATGACCTGGCTGGGCCTGGGGAGCCCCAGATGTGGCATGGCGGGAACTAGGCAGGGTAGCCCCCGGGTCCCCCTGACTGCCCGGCAAGCAGCTCCCCGCTCCCCAGGCGTCTTGCTGATTCTGACCCTGCCTTACACCTGGACTGTTGCCACCCCTATCCTGGCATTGCAAAGTGGGGGAGCCTCACACAGCCAAGGGCTTGGAAGCAGGGGGAGCCTGCTGTCCCTGGGGTAACGAACAGCTGGGAAGAGCTCGGGGGCAGGATGGGTGGATCCTAAGTGGAGCTCCCCAGCACCTGCCTTTGCCAGGACCTCAGCAATGCTGATGGACTGGCTACTGTGTGGATTATGGTTCTTTGGAAAAAATGCATTTTTTCCACATATTAAGCAACACCCAGTCCTGATTCTCCAACTAAGATTTCCACAGATGTTCCTTTGGGCTTGGTTATTACAGTGTTCCAAAGGCAGCTAAAGTGGAGCAAAGGTATTCAGGGGCACGGGTAGGGAGTCTGATGACCCCACGGAGGAAACACCTGGGTGCAAGCAAAATATGGATCACAGTGAGCCGAGCAGGACAGTGTTCTCTGCTGCAGGAGGACAGGGGAGAGGAAGAAAGAAAGAAAAAGAGAGAAGGAAGAAGAGAGGGAGGGAGAGGAAGGAAGGGGAAGGAAGGAAGGAAGGGAGGAAGGGAGGAAGGGGGAAGGAAGGAAGGGAGGGAGGAGTGAGGAAGAGAGGGAAGAGGGAGGGAGGGAGGGAACTTACTTCTGCTAAGGTGTCAATTTGACAGTAAGATGTGACAGTAAGCAGCACCGAGCAACCTGTTAGTGAACTTCGGAAGGGGACAGGAGTCCGATGTCCTCCAATCAAGGGTCCTTTTTATGTCCCTGCCACAGGACCCTTTTTAAATATTCATACTTTATTCTAACAGGCTCTGTAGGTTCAGTCCTCTCAAGAAGCTGAGGCCAAGAAGAGATTAGATGTGCAGGAGGGTCTTTGGGGGACACCCGAGCAGGACAAAGAGACAGGGGCAGGAGGAGGTAGGGTGAGCCTGCAGACAGGGAGGCTGTCCTAACTCCATGAGAGGAGAAGGGAAGGGAGAGCTTCAGACTCCAGCGCAGCGCCAAGAGAGCTTCAGCCAGGTTGGCAGGAAGTCCTTGTGCCCGAGTGTCCCACTGGAGGGGGTCCCACCGCTCGCGGAATCCAGCCTGCGTCAGAGCCCCACGTGCTCAGTCAGCCCAGGAGCAGCCACGGGAAGTGTGATCTTGCTGAGCGAGAACCCCCATGGCGGGGAGCCTGGCCCCAACTCTTCACACACCAGCAGTGTGTGCGTTGTGTGGTCACATACCACCTGAGAACGTCACCATCCGGAAGGATCTTCTTGATGTCATTTGCTTCCTCGTTCCTCCGTGTTCCCCTCCACTGGAGCATCAGCTCCCCGAGGCCGGGAACTCTGCCTGTTGCATCAGCCCCTAGCCCCTGACACACGGCCGGACACCTAGTAGGTGCTCAAATATCTGTGGAAGGGAAGAACGCATGGAGGAAGATCTTGGCTCGACAAGTTATTATATTGCAGCAGAGATTTTTTTTTTTTTTAAATTAAAATTAACATCTTTCTTTTTTTTTTTTTTTTTAATGATCTTTATATTTTCATTATCTATTCACTTTTTTTTTTTTCATTTTTTTATTCTTATGTTAATCCCCATACATTACAACATTAGTTTTAGATGAAGTGTTCCATGATTCATTGTTTGTGCATAACACCCAGTGCTCCATGCAGAATGTGCCCTCCTCAATACCCACCACCAGGCTAACCCATCCTCCCACCCCCCTCCCCTCTAGAACCCTGTTTGTTTTTCAGAGTCCATCGTCTCTCATGGTTCGTCTACCCCTCCTATTTCCCCCGCTTCATTCTTCCCCTCCCGCTACCTTCTTCTTCTTCTTTTTTTTTTCCTTAACATATATTGCATTATTTGTTTCAGAGGTACAGATCTGAGATTCAACAGTCTTGCACAATTCACAGCGCTTAACAGAGCACATACCCTCCCCAGTGTCTATCACCCAGTCCCCCCATCCCTCCCACCCCAACCCCCACTCCAACAACACTCAGTTTGTTTCCTGTGATTAAGAATTCCTCATATCAGTGAGATCATATGATACATGTCTTTCTCTGTTTGACTTATTTCACTCAACATAATACCCTCCAGTTCCATCCACGTCATTGCAAATGGCAAGATCTCATTCCTTTTGATGGCTGCATAATATTCCATTGTGTATATATACCACATCTTCTTTATCCATTCATCTGTCGATGGACATCTTGGCTCTTTCCACAGTTTGGCTATTGTGGACATTGCAGCAGAGATTTTTGAAACCAGGGAAGTTTAACTCCCCAAACTAGGATAATAAATACTCAGATTTTTTTTCTTGATTGCTATCACAAAAAACCACTTATTTGTGTTAAAAGGTAAAATTGCCTTACGTACTCACGAAGTGTGTAGCCATCATAACCCGTGGTGCTGGGGACGCTCTCCACGTCATTCTTTTCAGCCGAGGGTTTATGATACGCAAAGCTACATATGGTATTATTTCCATACCTCTATTAGGTTTCCCAAAGGAAAACATTCCTTAATCGGGGAGGGGGAATAAGAGACTTGATATCAAGCCATGCAGGCTGATTTTTGGCTAACGATGCGGAAGTCCTGTAGCTGGAAGCTCAATATACAATGCACATTAATTGCCTCCGGTATCAAGCAGCGCTAGAACCTAAGCATACAGCTGTTTTACCTTATAATGTTATATAAACAGAGCCCTCTGCACATTAGGGCAAAAGATAAACATTTGGAACAGAATAATTAGAAAAACCTGGAACCACCATAATCAGAAACAGCCTCTAAGAGAGCTTAATTTTAAGACAGGGTTATATTATGGGTTTTGCAAAGAGGCTTTATTTCTTAACTAGGGGGGGAAACAATCCAAATGCATGTGCTACTAACTCTAACAAAGTTCAAAGGCTTTTTCATGACACTTCAGTATATTAATCATTCCAGAGGGGACACAGAGTCCTTGTCCATGCAAAGGACATGGGGGAAAATCCAGATCACCCAGCAAGGAGAACAAGGTTATACTTGGAAATGAATGACTTTGAAAACTTGTGTGACACCTTTATTTATTTTTTTTTTTTTAAAGATTTTAGGTAATCTTTATACCCACCGTGGGGCTCAAACTCACAACCCCGAGATCAAGAGTCACAGGGTCTACTGACTGAGCCAGCCGACCCCCCTACTTGTATGGCTTTTGATTTCAAAGTGGGAGGTAGAGCAGACCTGGCCTGACCCCCCTGGACCTGGGCAGCCCCCGACAGGCATCTCTGTCCTTCTGTCCTTCTCTCTCCTGCTTTGGTCGACCTTGTAGATGCCTCTCAGGGATTCCGTGGACACTGTGTCCCAGCTCCCTCGGCAAGGGCCCTGGATGATGGGCAGTGATGTGTGACAGACAAAGTAGCCTTCTGAGACGCACCTGCTAACACACCTGAGCTTCTTCCCTGGTGAGAAACACCCACATCTGCCTAGGCCGGTCAGGCTGTGCTCCCATTCGTCCGCCCTGCTGACCACCTCCAACAACGTTTTAGCCATCATGGCCTGTTGTCCCCATGGCTTCCCAATTGGGAAATGGAAACCAGGAAGGTCAAGAGAGAGGCCTGGAGTCAGCAACCGCTAGGCAGTGTTGAATTCGAGCCCACACCTGGAAGTTCCACAGGACTTGACTTGAATCCACACATCTTGCTTGAGTCTAGACTCGCTTTGAACTGGAGGTGCTGGGACGACCATTCATTGTTTGTGTGTCGGTCGATGAGTCTTGAGCTGTTTGGGCTGGAAGGACACAGAGGTGAATAAACCAGGGATGATCCCAGCCCCGCCAGCCCCAGCATCCCAGGGGGAAGACCGACAGTAAGAGACACAAAGCCCCCGGTCTCATGGAGCTCTGGCTGGCACAGTACCAGAAGGGTGTCCTGCCCCCTCCTCCACCCCTGCTTCTCAGGGGGCAACTCTCTCCTCCCCTAGAGATCCCCAGCTATCTAGCTTTCCCTGTGTGTCTGAGCCTCACTGTCCCCTGGCCATGTGCCCAGGCCAGTGATGAAGCTGACAGGGAGGGACAGCGACAAGGAGGCCAGGCCAGGCCTGGCCCCAGAGCGGGGAGAAGGAAGAGTCCACCCAGCCCCACCCCTGCCTCTGGAGGTTGCCACACTCCTGGGATCCTTCTTGTCCCTGATCTGAGCAGACTTTTCACCATCTAGAAGAGAACACCCAGAAGACAAAGAAAATAAAACTCCCGTTCAGAATGCCAAGATGGGGAAATTTATCTTAGTGCTCAAAAAAAATTTTTTTTTGGAATAGCATGATATGTCTGAGGCCCATCTTTGAGTGGGAAGTTGTATTTATCCAACTGTTCCTTGTTATCTCCCTTCCCACCATGACAGGGTGAGGGCAAGTCTGATCTGGTGGACTCTCAGAGTTCTGGGTGGGAGGGTGGGGCATGGTCAAGGCCTTGATCTTCCTGGGCAGCGCCCCCACCACCCACGCCTGTCTCTCTCTCTCTCTCCCCCCTCTCTTCCTCCCTCCTCCAGGAGAGTGTTTGCATTTGGTCCCATCCTCCTGTTTTGACCTCAGCCAAGCGACACGTCACACCCGGACATACATGATCCTGGACAAAGACCCCGCGTGGCGGCCTCCGTGGAATCTTGATGTCTCACTCCAGTTTCCCAGCATCCACATCCAGCTGTTGGAGGTTAGTGCTTCTGTCAAAGATTTAAAAACCATTTTCAGGAAATCTGAGTGTTTCTGGTTTGGCCCAGGCCTTGCTAAAACATCCCACTGGGAGCAGGGAATCAGGCTCGAGATGCTCATGTTCGTAGAAGTCAGCCCGGAAGGAAAGGCGTCCTGGGCTCCTGGTGTCTCGACAGGGTTGAGCCCAGCGTTTCCAGCAACTCCTCTGCCGCTACCCCTTCGTCCATAAATGACCCCAAGTGCCACCGGCCTGGAATAGTCCTCCTGAGAGCCCTCCAGCCGGACGCACCGCCCTGCCTCGTTGTGATGCCATGAGGGCCCGGGTCGTGTCCCACGCACAGCCTGAGTTTGATCGCTCGTTCCTCACGTGTGTGGAGGACCTTCTCGGTGTTGGATACTGCTCTGCAATGCCCCGGAGACAGGGGAGAACAGGCCAGGACCCCAGCCCTCGGGCAGCCTCCGCTCACAGCAGGAGCCAGACCAACGTGATGTTAGCTGTGGCAAAGGGAGGCTGGACCCTGTGGGGACTGGAGGCATGATGTGGAAAGTTCCAGAAGCTGGGGTTGAGAAGGGGAGCCAGGTGTCAGGGGCCCTTGAAGGCCTGGCCGTTACTCTGAGTGAGAGGAGAAGCCTTGAGGCACGAGGGCAGAGGAAGCGCAGGGTCTGGTCCTCCCCAGCACTCATACACGTCCTCCCCTTCCTCGGCCAGGCTGTGGTCCACCCCACCGTGCATGGCGAGGGCAGTGGGAGTCCATAGCAATGAGCATGCGCCAGCAGCCAGGCGGCCCCCACCCGTCACATTCACACTGCTCTGGAGGCAGGCAGGACTGACCCCCATCTCTCCCCGTGTGGGGGCCTCTGGTTCTCTAGGGGACCTGCTGCCCACGGCTGCAACCAGGATCCCCCGGGGTCCGGCTCACACTGTCCTGGGGTCCCTGAGAAGTCCCTGGGCACGTGGGGTGAGCCACGGTGGCGGGGCTCGGCAATCAGGCCAGGACCCCGGGCCAGGCGTGCACCCCTGGTGGCCAGGGAGGGGAGGATGTGGCTCTGGCCACCACATCAGCCAGCGCCAACAAATGTTTCCTTGGCTGCAGAAAGTTCTACGGGACAGGGCCGTGCCCAACGCGCGGGTCTTGGGCCGTCGCTCCGCTGACACTCTCCACAGGAGCCCCTGCTGTGTCCTAAGACCGGTCCTCCAACCAGGCTGTCCTTCATGGACATTCTCTCCCTCTCTGCAGACTGCCTTTTCGTCTTAACGGGGTCTTTCACAGAACAATGTTTTCATTCTGATGAGGTCCAATTCATCAATTTTTTTCCTTTTATGGGATAGGCTGTCTGATGCCAAATCTCAGAGCACTTCACCTGGTCGTAGGTCCCAAAGATTGTCTCCTCTGTTTTTCCTACGAGTCTCGTGGCTTCACATTTTACATTTCAGTGTGGGATCCACTTTGAGTTAAATTCTGTACGAGGTATGAGGATGGCTCAGGGTTCACTTTTGTCCACAGACAGCCGATTGCTCGAGGGCCATCCGTCGGAAAGACAGCCTCCCTCCCTCCGTCGGCTTGGTTTGGCTCTGTCGTCAGAAACCAGCTGGGCATGTGTGGGCTCATGTTCGTGCTCAGCTCATGCAGCTGTTGAGGATCACCTGTGGAGCGTGGGGCTCAGGGCCGGCGATTGGATGGACACCCCTTAGTCAGCAGGATCACGGAGCAGAGACCGTGTCCCTCCTAGGCCTCGCCTTAGCCCTCAGCAGCCCGAGAGCTGTTTCTCCTTCCAGCCCCACCACGCTGCTGCCGGGACACACACACCCCCACACCACCACAGGGGCTCAGCCAAAACTCTGCCCCAACAAGCGTGTCCCGACAGCCTCGCCCCTACCCCACGTGGGACACACGGCAGTTCTGATGACAAAGGCACGTGGGGAGGATGCGGAGGGGATGTCCCCGACTTCCTTGTACTGGGGACCAGGCTCAGGCACCCCACTCTGATGTCAAGCTCTAGGGATCCTGACCGCTCTCTTCGGAGCCCACATCCCTGGGTCCCCAAAGAGTCCCTCCCAGCATCCGTCCCTGGAGCGGCCGCATCTCCCTCACTTTTAACTCAGGACCCTTCCCGCTGGAGCTGAGGCCCATTTCCTGTCCAGGGTCCCCCACGCAAATGAACAACAGCTGGGAAACGTCCTTGCTGAGGCTGAGCACACGGCGTCACCCCCACCCCTGAGGGGCTCATTGACTGCCGAATGGGGGCAGGCTCCATCTTCCCCTGAGCAGCCCTGGCCCCCTTGCTGCTCAGCTGAGCCTTTCCAAACTGCCTCATCCTGTGGCCACAAAGGACAACCAGCCTTGCGGAGAGAGAGGGAGGCGGCCCTGCAGGGGAGTCAGCTCAGTCCCTACCTAGGGAGCGCCCACCCCGTGCCAGGCAGGTTCTCTGTGCCCTGCAACAGAAGTAGATGTCTGCAACCTCCTGCATCCTTCCTCTGGCAAGGAAATTTGGCCCCAAAGGCGGCCAGGCCACGGTGCAGAGCCTCTGAAAGCAGCTCACGGGAGCTCAGGTAAAGGCTTGGGGAGGTCGGAGCCCACATGCTATGGGGACAGGGGGACAGGAGAGACAGTCATGTTGGCTAGAGGACCAGTGAGGTCCTGGAGAGGGGCTGGAGCCTGAGACTGCTGGGGAGTGTGGTCTCTGATGGAAGGAAGGAGGCATGCAGACTGCAGACTACGGACTACGCAAAGAGAAAGCGTAGGGCCAGGGCTGGGGAGCGGTGGAGGCGGGACACATCGTCCAGGGAAGGACTTATCTGTGGGGTTTGAGGAGCCAGCCCCCACCCCAACTTTTCTTTCTTTGTTTTAAATTTTCTTTATTTATTTGGCAGAGAGAGAGACAGCGAGAGAGAGAACACAAGCAGGGGGAGTGGGAGAGGGAGAAGCAGGCTTCCCGCCGAGCAGGGAGCCCGATGCGGGGCTCGATTCCAGGACCCTGGGATCATGACCTGAGCCGAAGGCAGACGCTTAACCGACTGACCCACCCAGGTGCCCCCACCCCAACTTTTCAACCTTCTGATGGTGAGCCTGCTTGTGGCACTAGGGTCCTCGTGCCGAAGGAACAGGCGTGGTGAGACACCCAAGGCTAAATCTGACCCAGTGCCCTGGAGCGCAGTTGCCATCAAAGACTCAGCAGAGTAAGGTTGCTGAGAACACCTTATGATAAACGCAATGGCAACAGGTTACTTAGCAGACAGCAGGTTTTACCTGCACTCTCAGGCTGAACGACCGGGCGTCAGAGGGCTTTCACCCAGCCCCCAAGTCCAGACCTCTGACGTCTGGACTGCTCATTATCTGTCCTCCCCAACCCAGGTGTTTGGGGGGAATGGATGAGAATTCCAGATTTTACTGAAGAGCTGCAAAACTGCCCCTCAGAGAAGCTACCTATGACATCACCAGCAGGAGTGGGAGGGGGGATCCCAGCAGACACCTTGCAAAGTCTCCCCCACTGTACCCAGGGTGAATCCAACTAACATGAGACCCTTCCTCATCCTGACACCTGATGCTGGTCAGGCCGTGGCTGCTGTGAGGTCTTCCGTGGCAGCAAATGCACCCCAGCCAGGTCAACGTCGCTTCCCAATCACAGAAACCCCAGTTCCAATTGACGCAAGCAAAGAGACCCCCTCCCTAGGCGGAAAAGTTCAAGAATAGCAATGGTCTTGGTGACAACTGGATCCAGGACTCAAACAAGGTCATCAGGGCCCTTCCCTGCTCCTCCCAGCCACCTACCACCCAGGGACAGTGACCACCTGCGCTGGGACGGGAGGTCCTCTGTCTCCCAGGGCCGCATATCAAGCCTGGGGAAGACTCGGATTGGCCCTGCTCGGGTCACATGCTACGGCCAGGAGGACGGGACAGTCCCGTGGTCCAGCTGGGTGGAAAGTGAGGGATCAGAAAGAGCAGTTCCCCGAGTTCCATGGAAGACAGGACCCACAGAAAGAAGGCAGCCATAAAGCGTAATCTCCACACAGAGGATCATGGAGATCTCTGACATTGACAAGCGTTCCCACAGACATTACCTTGTCCGATTCCCTGTTCCCCACAGGGTACAGGCAGGCCCGATGGCTGCCGAGAAGCTGGCAGCCGCACCCACTGCTCTCCTTCACGACACCATCAGACTGCTACCCAGTAGACACCGTGCCCACCTGCAGCCCTGACTTCCCACCAGGGCCCCCGCTCCCAGCCAAGGGCTCTCTCTGGACACAAGAGCATGCACAGTCCCCTGGGGGTCCAAGAGCAGCCCTCAATCCATGACCGGCAGAAGCAGCAGAAGGAAGTCCTCACCTTCTCGTATCTGGAGGGGGACAATTCTGCGTGGTCCCTAGGAGGCCCAGTAGCCCACGGGGATAACCAGGGTGATCACACACCTGTCTCCCTGCCCCACTGCCCTGCCTCCCGGACCACCCCCCAGACAAACGACTTGCGCACAGCCAAATTCTCAACTCGGGGTCTGCCTGGTAGAACCTCCAACAAGATGCTCTGTAAACACTGATAAGCTATTGTTGATAAAGCAGATACAAGAAAATGCTATAAAATAACTAAATTAGGGTGCCTGGGTGGCTCAGTCGTTAAGCGTCTGCCTTTGGCTCAGGTCATGATCCCGGAGTCCCGGGATCGAGTCCCACATCGGGCTCCCTGCTTGGCGGGAAACCTGCTTCTCCCTCTCCCCCTGCTTGTGTTCCTGCTCTCGCTATCTCTCTCTCTGTCAAATAAATAAAATATTTAAAAAAATAAATAAATAACTAAATTATATACCAATACCCTCCAACTCAGAAGGCAAATAACAGTGCACAGCTCCCCGCCCCACGCCCTCAGAGACAGACATTGCTAATCGACGGAGGCCCCTTTTGGAGGCTGTCCAAGCCCAGCAAGAGAGAGCATCATGATCACTTAGTCATGTCTGCCACTGGTAGAATAAGTGGGGGGCACAGCATGTGCCTTGCTGTTTGCCATCCCTGCTCCAGCCAATTGGCTTGCAGAGCCCATAAACCCACTCAATGAATGTCACTGTCATCATGTCACCAGTTCTCACAATGGCTAATTTTCCTCCCTCCCTCCCCCAACATTGCCAGCCTTGCTAAGAGTCATATGTGCATACCTGATGGATGAATCTGCTGGAAAATGCCCAGGGCTCAGCTTGTCTCGCCATCTGACAAAGGAAACAGAGATGCCGAGCGCAGAGGACAGTTAGCACCTACCTGGGTGAGTGGTGCAGCTGAAAATAGGCATGACTCACCCTTGCCAGGGAGGACCAAGCTGCAGTTCCAGCAAGCCCTCCTCTGCCCTAAATGCCACCAAAGGTGTCCAGGGAGCAGAACCGTGTGTCCTGTAGGTATGGCTCTGTGTGTGCATGTCATGCAGCCACACAGCCGCCCAGACCCCGCTCCCCCAAGAGTCACGCGGCTCGAGGAGGGCCTTAGGGCTCCGCTGCTCATGTTACACAGAGCACAGCCAGAACCATCTGGCCAGGCCTGGAGCCCACTCGGAGTCCCTGCATAAACACATCCCGTCACCTAGGAAAACAGAATTACATTTTCCATAGTGAAGAAATAAATCTCTAGTGGGTATTTACGAAAATGTATACTCTGCTAAGGGACAGTGTGTTTTTTGCCAATTAGCTAGAACAGGGTCTTCGCACAGCATAACAAAACAAAAGAGAATGAGGAAAGGAAAGTCCAGTTAGGTCTGCGTTCAAAATAAACAATCTTTACCGTTACAGACAGTCCCTGGTTCATACACGGTCTGAGTTCCAAGACTGTGTTCCCAAGTCAGTCATTTGGAGCTTGACATGTACTTTCCCACAGAAACTATGTCCATTGGTCATAAAGCTAACCCACGGCCGTCTCTTCCTCTGATAGTGATGGAAGTACATTACCACCTTCACATCTCCACTTCCCTGCAGCATTGCCTTTGCATTGCCTCTGGGAGAAGATACATTCTGATGTCCAGAGAGGGTCAGGCAGGGCCAGAACTGGGGAAGGCCCAAGGGGGTATGGGTGGGGCCAGTGAGATCTGGTTGCCATTGGCTTCTGGTGTGAATGCCAGCACCCCTCTCTCAGCCCCAGTCACCTCATCTCTGAACAGTTCCCACCTTACATTGTTGCTGCTGGGACGATGAAGTAGCCCCAAGGATGCAGGGCACAAGTTACAGAGCTTGGCCCCAAACAAGAGCTTGGGGGAGAAGCTGCACTGTTACCTTCATGTGCAAAAGAGAACTTGATTATGAAATCCAAGCATTTTCGGATTTGAGGGAATTCACTAAGTGTTTCCAACAAAGGGCATATCTGTTTTGTCCTAAAATGATCCCCAGGCCTGGCCCATGGCAAGCTCTAACAAGGACTGGGTGGATGGATGGATGGATGGATGGATGGATGGATGGATGGATGGATGGACGGACAGATGGATGGGTAGACAGATGGACGGATGGACAAATGGATAGATGATGGATGGATGGATGGATGGATAAATGGATGGATGGATGGATGGATGGATGGATGGATGGATGGATGGATGGATTGGTGGATGGATGAATAGGTAGGTGGAAAAGTGGATGGGTAGGTGGATGGATGAGTAGTTGGGTGGATGGGTGGATGGATGACAAACAGAGGGATGGACTGATGAATGAATGCATAAAGATCAAAACCATTCTTTCTTTTCCTTACCTTGGCCTCTGGCTTGAGTCCAGGGCCCTCCTCTCAGGGACCCAGAGAGCTTCCTCACCCATTCTACCATGCCGAGTGGGGGTATGGAACACACACACGTACACAGGACAGCTATCTACAAAGCAGCATGCTCTCATCAAACACTGAATCTGTCAGCACCTTGCTACTGGATTTTCCAGCCTCCAGAACTATGAGAAATAAATATCTGTCATTTATAAGCCACCCAGACTGGGGTATTTTGTTATGGCAGCTCAAACAGACTAAAACAGGTGTGGACGCTAGGTGGTGTGGCTCACTGGGGCCATCTTCAAGGATTAGCAACCACATTCTTTTTTTTTTTTTTAAAGATTTTTTTATTTATTTATTTGACAGAGAGAGAGAGAACACAAGTAGGCAGAGGGAGAGGGAGAAGCAGGCTCCCCGCAGAGCAGGGAGCCCGATGCGGGACTCTATCCCAGGACTTTGGGATCATGACCTGAGCCGAAGGCAGCCGCTTAACCGACTGAGCCACCCAGGCGCCCTAGCCACCACATTCTTTCAAGCCATAGTCCTCAGCAGGTCTAGCTAACATCATTTGCAATTTGTGGTCTCCAAAGTCAGCATGGCAGAGGAAAAGAGAGAAAGGGAGAGAGCTAGAGAAAGTACAGTGACTTCTGAATGCCTCTGCTCATCGGCCAGAACTAGTCCTATGACCCCACCATGACTGCAAGGAAAGCTCAGGAATGGAGAGGAGTGGGGGACTTTTTCGTCAGCCCCAGTGGCCTCTGCCCCACCAACTACTCCTCTAAGGATGGTCCCTATGTTGGTGAACACAAGCAGACTCCCATTCACTGTGGGTGGGTATGTAAACAGGGATGGCCTCCACTGGAGGGCAGTGCGACCTGCCCAGCTTCCTGCTTGCTCCTGGCTGGGTGTGGAGACCACGGCATGCATGGGCCCTCTGGGCTCTAGGACTCAGTGGGCATGACTAAGCCACAGAAGACGACGGCTGAAGAACATCAGGACAGCAGCCTCCTGTCCTCTTTCCAGAGTATTTTGTGGTGTTGGCCAGAATAAAGAGGAACTCATTCCTCTCGAGGGTGGAGGCCGTTGGTGTGACCCTGTTGGTTCCCACCTAGTTAAGGAGAACACACAGTATCATTGTGGGAGGCAGAACTGGTCACATTGGGCAAGCTGATTTGTATAGCCTTTTCACACACTGTGCCCAATTCAGGGTGTCATATTAGCACAAAGGTGGAGAAACCAGGTAGAAATCCAAGAACAACAAGACCACTTGACCTATAAGTGAAGGTGGAAGGTACTGGGATTAACTCACCAAATGAACAGGAAATGACTCAGCATCAAGTGCCTGTGAGCAGCAAGTCAAGAGTGTGGACATGGGTGTCGAATGGACCTGGCTTGGATCACTGGCTCCATCATTTACCAGCTGTGGGCATTAGTCATATTACTTAACTTCTCTGAATGTCACGTTCTTCATCTGTAAAGTAGCCAAAGTCATAGTAGCTCCCTCACAGTGTTCTTGTGACCATTAAATTAAATCATGTGTGTGCTGGGCTCATGGTGAGCTCTCAGTAAATGTGGGCAGTGTTCTTGCTATTGATGTTATTATCCCTATTTCCAACTATGTTGGAATAACGTGACAATCTCTACAAGTTTTAAGGTTAACTGAGAGAGGAATCATTAGTAGTCCGTCAGTGACCTTAGTGTGGCAGAGCAAACCCTCCTCGCTCTGCCCCTGTCTACCTCTCCTACATGATCCTACCTCACACCACACACCCCATCCCTGACAAAGGACTTACAGTTTGAACTGGTTAGGGTTCTTCTGGATGAACCTGGATGAACCTAAGCAAACTGAAGCTGCACTGAAATCCAAACACTAGAAAAACAGGACTCAGGAGGGGCAAGAATCAGGCAGTTCTTGGAGAAGGAAGGACTTCAGAGGCCATGCCATGTACTCTGGGTTTCAGTTTCACATGGAAGACAACCTGGCCCATGGGAGAACAAATGGCCTGGGATGGCTAAAGTGTAATTCAGGGAAGCCCTACTGGGGAGCGACTGATGCAGGGTCAGTCTTTCTGGCAATCTGCCTTAGCATAATCCAATCAGCATTGCCTGGAACGAATTGCTTGTGCCATGGAGTGCAAGAGAGGATCCATGTTTTATTTTGTGTTAGGGGAAAAAAACCCTGCTGAGTACACCAAACTCTTGGTTTTATGGGGATTACTACTTTACTTTGAAAGAACCCATTTGAAAGTTTTAAGCAAATAGAGGTGGCGCCTGGATATATAGCAAGTCACAAAGGGGCTTCGTGGATTAATGCTGCTTAAGGATTGTGGCCTGAAATAGGGGGTTATAGAGAGCTCATTATAAATAGAAGTGCTCTAATGAGTCTAGCGTCCTAAATGCAAACTTCAGGGTCGAGACAGGAAATCTAAGTGAGTAAGGTGGGCCAGGTGGGACACAGCAGGGAGCAGAAGGCTCTGGCAGCCTGGAGGGGGCACGATCCAGCTGGGTTCCACTCCATTCACCCACCGCAGTGGGGAAACGCAGGCCCAGCACTGTGAGATCTCCACTTTCAAAGAGAGGTTAGACATTTCGGACTTTTATGAGAATTTTTCAGATTTTTAAATGAGAGTAACTAACTCAAAAGTTGTAAAGCAGGGACACCTGGGTGGCTCAGTCAGTTAAGCATCTGCCTTCGGCTCAGGCCATGATCTCTGGGTCCTGGGATCGAGTCCCGCATCGGGCTCCCCACTCAGTGGGGAGCCTCCTTCTCCCTCTCTCTCTGTCTCCTGCTTCCCCTGCTTGTGCTCTCTCTATCTCTCTGCCAAATAAATAATAAAATCTTTAAAAAAAAAAGTTGTAAAGCAATGGGCGAGCCACACGTAGCCCCTCACAGACTGAAGCCCATCCCTGAGCATGCAGCCTCTGACCCCACTGAAATTCGAGAGACCCGAACTCGTGGGCACCGGGTCACACCGCTCCCCGTTCCTCTCTCAGCGCTGAGAAAGAAAGGGCTGGCTGTGTAAACATGCTTGGGAAGAAATGGTGAACCCAGAAAGCTATCCACCTCTTCCCCCTGAAAGATGAAAATGGTGCTTAAAGATGGTACTTTTTTTCAACAATACATAATTATGAAATGTTCAGACACAGAGCAAAGATGAAAGAATCTCACAAGGAATGTCCTTATCTCTACCACCCACATTCTGCTATTAATCATTCACTGCATTTGCTTCGTCACATACCGATCCATCCATGCATCCCCCAGCCACCATCTACATAGCCTCGTAATGAGGTTCCTGGTAAATTAGCAAGGATGAGGTTTTGGAAGCTGTCCTGGTTCCCTTCAGATTCATACCCCCACTTTTCCTTCCTCTGCTCTGCACTGAAGGGAGGTATAATTCCCAGGCCCCGACGTCTTCTAGCTTGTGGGTGTGGGCACACAGGCAGGAGATAAATTAGGGTGTTTCTACCTCTCTCTCTCTCTCTGTTTGAGGTGGCCCCCAACTTGACTACAAGGAACCTGCTAGTCATCCTTCTGGGGTCTCAGCTCCTAGCTGACATGCCTGAAATGACTCCAGCACCTACCAGGTAGCCCGAGACCCTGGGGTCCAGCAACACCTCCTCCTCCTCCTTTTGTCCCTACAGCCTAGAGGGGAGAGAGACTTTCTTGCTCATGTCTTGACTGCCTTATCATTCTGTATTCCACTTCTTACCTCTTTCCACCACCGTGGAAACACTTCCCTGCTTTGTGTCCTCTATCTGAAATAACAGGCATGGATTCTGTTGTCTTGATTAGATCCCGGCTGAAACAAGTTTGTGACCTCCAGTCTTCTGGGAGGCACAGGCCACGATGCAAGATGCTTGTTGTGGACAACACCTGTAAAGGAAGGAGGGGAGGAAGCTATAGAGGAGGAGACAAACTCAGACCCACCATGATGGAGGCCACCAGCATGGGGGAAGATGGCGGGTCTGCAGGAAGCCCTGGAACCAGCCCTCCAAGGGTCCTGCATGGGGTAGAAGGGGCCAGGCTCTAATCCCCCACTGTGCCCAAAACCTGTCAGGAGCTACTGACAGGAGCAGCCTCAGCCCACACACCAGAATGGGTCCTAAAGATGCAGAAGCCAGAGGCTTCCCCACAAACTCACTCCTCCAGCTTTCCAGCAAGTTCTTCCTTAAAGGGAGAGCCAAGCGGTACACCTCCATATCCACAACAGCAAGCTACTCTTTTGTAAAAATTGTCTAAATTATATCTTAATGTCATCTTGAGGGAACCCCACTTGACCTGAGAAGTGAACAAGAATGGGTGAAACTCAACCTCCATAAACACTTGAATTTTTTTTTAAGATTTTATTTTAAGTAATCTCTACACCCAACATGGGGCTCGAACTCATGACCCTGAGATCAAGAGTTGCATGCTCTACAGACTGAGCCAGCCAGGCATCCCCTCCATGGACACTTTTAAATAGGTGATTAATCACAGGGTCACAGTGGATGGGATGGTTAGGGCCCAGCTGGAATGAGTTAAATGCAGAGAAATGTTTTTAAGAAATAAATCTCATCCAGTTGTCAACTGGAACATAGGAAACTATGCTCTAAAATTGCTATCTAAGGGCGCCTGGGTGGCTCAGTCGGTTAAGCATCCAACTCTTGATTTCGGCTCAGGTCATGATCTCAGGGTTGTGAGATGAGCCCCATGTTGGGCTCTGTACTGGGTGTGGAGACTGCTTAAGATTCTTTCTCTCCCTCTCCCTTTCCCTCTGCCCCTCCACCCTCTAAGAAATTAGATAAGATAAGATAAAATAAAATAAACTTCTGTAACCAGCTCTAGCCACTGGCCCAAAAGCCTCCTGCTCACATTTAGGAAAATCTTTTTAATCAGATATAATTTACATCTAATAAAATGTACTCATTTATTTTTTTTTAAAGATTTTATTTATTTATTTGAGACAGAGAGAATGAGAGAGAGAGAGCACATGAGAGGGGGGAGGGTCAGAGGGAGAAGCAGGCTCCCTGCCGGGCAGGGAGCCCGATGCGGGACTCGATCCAGGGACTCCAGGATCATGACCTGAGCCGAAAGCAGCCGCTTAACCAACTGAGCCACCCAGGCGCCCAAAATGTACTCATTTAAATGTACATTTCAATAATCTTTGATAAATGTACACACCTATGTATATGAAGTATGCATCTCGATGAATTGTAACAACAGCATACAACCATGTAGCCACCTCCTCAGTGAACACATAGAACATTTCCATTGCCCCCAAAAGGGCCCCTTGTGCCTCTTCTTTTTTTTTTTTTTTAAAGATTTTATTTATTTATTCATGAGAGAGAGAGAGAGGCAGAGGGAGAAGCAGACTTCCCGCAGAGCGGGGAGCCCCATGCGGGACTCTATCCCAGGACTCCGGGATCATGACCTGAGCCGAAGGCAGTCGCTTAACCATCTGAGCCACCCAGGCGCCCCCTTGTGCCTCTTCTTAGTCAACCCCTGCCCTCAGTACCAGACAACTACTTGCCTAAACTAAAACCTTTCAAATTTCTGGAAGAAGTACCCAGTGGTGCAACTGCCGGGCCATATGGTAAGGGCATGTTGGGTCTTCCAGGAAACTGCCATATTCTTCTCCAGAGCGGTGTACCATCTTACATTTCTACCAGCGAGGTTAAGGGACCTAGCTGCTCCTCATCCTTGCCAGCATTTGATGTTATCACAAGTTTTTGTTTTAGCCGTTCTCACAGGCAATGATATCTCATTGCGGGTTTCTGTTGCATTTGCCTCATGACTAAGATGCTAAGCACCTTTTCCTGTGCTCATTTACTGTGTATTCTCTTTGGTGAAATGTCTGTTCATGGGGAACCTGGGTGGCTCAGTCGTTAAGCGTCTGCCTTCGGCTCAGGTCATGATTCCAGGGTCCTGGGATCGAGCCCCGCATCGGGCTCCCTGCTCCGAGGGAAGCCTGCTTCTCCCTCTCCCGCTCCCCCTGCTTGTGTTTCCTCTCTCGCTGTGTCTCTTGCTGTCAAATAAATAAATAAAATCTTTAAAAAAAAAAAAAAGAAAGAAAGAAATGTCTGTTCATGTACTTAGCCCATTTTCTAATTGGATTGTTTGGAAGTGGTTTTTTTTTTTTTTTTTTAAGATTTTATTTACTTATTTGAGAGAGAGAGAGACAGAGAGCACAAGCAGGGTGAGAGGCAGAGGGAGAAGTAGGCTCTCCGCCGAGCAGGAAGCCCAGTATGGGGCTTGATCCCAGGACACCTGAGCTGAAGGCAGATGCTTAATGCACTGAGCCACCCAGGCGCCTGATTATTTGGGTTTTGTTTTGTTTTTATTTTATTTCACTGTTGAGCTTTAAGAGTTCTTTATATACTCTAGTTTTAATCCTTTGTTGCAAATATGTCACCCCAGTGGGTTGCTTTTCTTTTCCTCCTCTTAATAGAATGTTTCACAAGGCAAGAGTTTTTAGTTTTGATATAGTCACATTTATCCCATTTATCCATTTTTTCTTTTTTCTTTTGGTGTCAAGTCAAACGACTAACTCTTCACCTAGCTCTGGTTTAAAATATTTTCTTTTATTTTTTCATAAAAATGTAGTGGTTTTATATTTAACATTTAAGTCTGTGATCCATTTTCAGTTGATTTTTATGTAACATATGAGGTTTAGGTTGAGGTTCATCTCTTTGCCCACAGATTCCACTTGTTTTCACACCATTTGTTGAAAAGGTTATCCTTCCTTCATTGGGCTGCTCTCACGCCTTTGGCAAATATCAGTTGGGCATATTTGTGTGGATCTATTTCTGGGTTCCCCATTTTGTTGTATTGATCTATGTGTCTATCCCTCTGCCAATTCCATATAGTCTCAATTACTATAGCTATATAATGACCCTAACATCATAATCCACTCCTTTTGAACAAATTTGAACAAAATTTCTGTTTAACTTCTCTTAGATGCTTTGAAGATCCTGCCAGAGATGGGACACAAGTGAGAGTCAAGTAAGTGCACAGATGTCCTGAGCCCAGCCACTGCTAGGGGTCCTTGTGCAGAGAGGAGGATGAGAAAGGTTCAGTAGGGATCCCACTTCCCACAGGGTGGTGGTGGGGTAGGGCTTTAGTCACAGGGCAGGAAGTTTGTTGGTTTTTTTTTTTTTTAAGATTTTTATTTATTTGACAGAGAAAGACACAGCGAGAGAGGGAACACAAATGGGGAGTGGGAGAGGGAGAAGCAGACTCCCTGCCGAGCAGGGAGCCCGATGCGGGACTCGATCCAGGGACTCCAGGATCATGACCTGAGCCGAAGGCAGTCGCTTAACCAACTGAGCCACCCAGGCGCCCAGGGCAGGAAGTTTTGATAGAGGCCCTGCCAGTGGGCTAGACCAACCCAGGACACATGAAGGAATTGCAGCAGAGGGATATTCAGTGCCACATTTAGGTATACGTGGAGCTGTTACTGGAGGCTACTTACTGGTAACCCCAAGACTCTGCGCCTGAGGCATCTTTCCTGAAAAGAGGAGCTTCAATCAACAGTGGACAGGGAGTTGTTGGATAAAATGTCAGCTTCCTCAGCCCAGGCTGGAATAACTCTGAGACCTGTTCTCCCTTGCCTCCCCAACCCCTAGCAGGCAGAGGCTCCAGTTGCCCGTGGTGGTAACCATCTTGATCATACACTCTTTCACCCCAATTCCTTGTCTTATGTTTCCCACTTCCCTACAGGTGCTTCCTTGGGGTGGCCTCTAAAAATACATTATTTGCATCAAATGTGCTCAGAGTCTGCTTCTAGGGGACATAAACCAAGACAGGGGGCCCAGGGTTGGCTTTGAGCTGGTTGCCCTTGGCCTACAATCTGCACTGGTGCCATATTGCTTTCACTGTATGTTTGGATTCTTATAAACCAGCTGCTCCCTAAAAATTCTGATTCCTGTGTGATGAAGCCACCTGTGTCAGCTGATAGCAACTGTAGCTCAGGCATTTTAACCTGGAGAGTTGGGGAATGCTGTGTTTTGGTCTTGTCTTATAAAAATGAGTAGTGCTGTGGCCTGAATATGTCCCCCCAAAATTCATATGCTGAGTCTAACCCCCCTGCCAGTGTGACTGTATTGGGATATTGGACTTATAGGAAGGTCTATAAATTTTAATGAGGTCATGAGGGTGGGGCTCTGATCTAATAGGATTGGTGTCCCTATAAGAAGGAAAAGAGAGACCACAGATCTCTAACACATACACACACACACACACACACACACACACGGAGGTAAGGCCATGTGAGGACACAGCAAGAAGACAAACATCTGCAAGCCAGGAAGGAAGTGCTCTCCGGGAACCAAACTGATGGAGACCTTGGTCTTGGACATCCGACCTCCAAAACTATGAGAAAATAAATTTCTGTTATTTGAGCCACCCAGCCTATGATGTTTTGTTATAGCAGCCCAGGCAGACTAATACAGGTAGTAAATAGAAAGGGAGGGGAGGGAGGTGGGACTAGCTGGCGAGGGAGGAAGAGAGAGAGTAGGTGGGGAGGGAAAGGGGGGAGTGAGGAGGAGGAGGAGGGAGGGAGGGAGGAGGAGAGAGCTAGCTCATACTGGTAAAGAATCTCCTAAACTCAAAACAACTGAGACGGATGGAATTCTTTAGAAAGGCCAAAGCAGGGAGTCAGCTTTGATCAACATTCATAGAACCAAAGGAAAAGAACCAAATTAAACAACACTTTAGAATACTAGAAATGCTTCCCTTTAGATCTAAAAGAAGAGACATGACTATGGAATTCTGCCATCTTTTCTAGGTCTTGTGGAGTAAACTCCTCTCCACAAGTTAGGCTTCTGCTTCTGCTCAGCTTCTGCTCAGCTTCCAGTCACCCTAGTCTGACAGTGGGAGAGGGCAGGTGTGCCCAA